CACCAGTTCTTAACCTGGAAAGAGCAGGTGAGCCCCCTGGAATTCTAACTGATAAAAACCTATCATCCATCTGATAAGTTTTTACTGAGCACCTACTCCATGCTGACCTGTGAGCATATTTGTGACTGTGTTCACAAGCATTTTCCTGCTCTCATCAGCTTCTCAAAAGGGGACCGCAACCACCCGAGGCTAAGACCCCCAGGGCTGCCCCAGGGAGGGGTTGGGCCAGATGGAGAAGGGAGTGGGTGCAAGGTGGGGAGCAGGATACCATGTTTTTTTTTTTTTTTAAGATTTTATTTATTTATTTGTCAGAGAGAGAGCACAAGCAGGGGGAGTGGCAGGCAGAGGGAGAGGGAGAAGCAGACTCCTCGCTGAGCAGGGAGCCCGATGTGGGACTCGATCCCAGGACGCTGGGATCATGACCCGAGCTGAAGGCAGACATTTAACCGACTGAGCCACCCAGGTGTCCAGGACACCTTGTTCTTTGCTTGCTCAGCATCCATTCCCTGTTCTTCTATTAGCAGTGCCCTCCATTTCTTTTGGGAGGTAAAATCAAATCTTTGAAGTGACTGCTGTCTGTCACTGCAAATGATTGTGAGAAACCGAACCCCTTGATGGTAAGTTTTACTCACAGAAGAGGGATCTAGGTGGGATATAACTGGAAAGGTGCTTGACTTAGAGTCAGAAGACCTGGGTTCGAATCCTGTCTCTTCCATTTACTAATAGAGCTATTAGCACGTTTTCTTTAGTCCTCTGATTAGCAGGTGGAGTTAACATGCTTCAGGGCATAGTAAGACCATCATCGGTCTGTAGACCCCCATCTCAGGATCACCCCACGGTTCATCTCGTAGGGCATGTCTGTATCAAGAACTGTATCCGCTGGGTAACCTCCATTTCCATATGCCACCATCTGCTGACCACCTCTTATTCTTTCAACCTACTCTCTCTGGCACCACCAGCAATGGCTCCTAAAATCCACTTTTTTGGGTCCCTCACACTTCCTGCATCTGGTCCTCACATCCTCTTTACCCCACCCAGAGTGCATGGGCCAGCATGGCAAACAATCCCTTGCCCACAGCTCGGCTCCCTTGCCCCTCTCTGGTTTTATTCGATTTGCCAGGCAAATCCCCAAACCTGGCCGGATGATTCTCTCTCCCAAACCCCAGGATGAAGAGTTCACATCTTCTAGAATCCCAGTACCAACACCCCCCTCCCCCACTCTTCACCACGGGCTGATGCCCTTGCTTCCTGTTTCTCTGGAAAAACAGAAGCCACCAGAAGAAAACTCCCTAAGGCTCCCATCATTTCACCTGTACTCTCCACTTTCGTCAGAGGGAGTCTCCCTGCTCCTGTCCAATGCCAACCCCCCACCTGTGCACTTGACCCCATGCCCCTTGATGCCTTAAGGACTCACACTCCCATTGTCTCTTCTCTCTGTGTCATCAATTTCCTCTCTCTCCTGGATTGTTCCTATCAGCAGACACAGATGGTCTAAAAGCTCCTAGCCTTAAAAAAAAAAATCCTCCCTGGATCCCACACCTTTCTCCAAAAGTCTGCCCTGCTTCTCTCTTCCTTTTACAACACAGTTTCTTGATGGAGTTGCCTTCACTACCTCTGTTCCCATGCTCGTTCATGCATCGCTCATGCATCATACACCGTGCCCCGTCGGACATTTGTCCCCACCACACGTGAAAGTGCTCTTGTCAAGGTTGCCAGGGACCTTCACATGGCCTACTTCGAAGTCAACTTTCAGTCCGTAGCTTAGCTGACCTATCATCGGCATCTGCCATAGCTAACCAAGCCCTCGCCCTTCAAACACTTGCTTCCCTGGCCTCCCGAACATCTCTCTGGTGTGTCTGCCTCCTACCACGCTGCCTAGTCCTAGCCTCCTTTCCTCTGCTTCTCCTCCCCTCCCCAACTTCTGCTTCTGGCAAGCTCCAAGGCTCGGCCCTCTTCTCTTTCTACATTTCCTTTGGGGCATCTCATCTAGATGATTGGCTTTAAAAGTCATCCACATTTTGCTGGTTCTCAAACTTGGATGTCTAGCTCTTCCCTTCCTGCTGCATTCAGGCTAGTTTAAGGTACTGCGTACTTAGGATGCTACCTGGATGCCCCACGGCATCTCACAACTAACATGTCCACAACTGGGGTCCTGACTGCCCTCCCAAATCTGCCCCTTTCAGAGTCTTCTCATTTCAGTAAATGACAACTCTCGCCTACTAGTTGCTCGCTCAAAACTCTGGAGTGATTCTTGGTTCCTTTTTTTGTTTTCTCAAACCCCACATCCAGTCAGAAAATCATGTTGGCTTTACCTTCAGAATATGTCTAGAGTCTGAGCACTTCTTCCCATTTCCACCTGACTGATGGATGCCACATTCCCTCTCTCGTGGATGATAGCAACAGCCTCCCAACTGGTCTCCCTGCTTCTACCCTGGCCTCCTCTAGTCCATCCTTCACACAGAGTGAAAGAAGGTCAGCCCTTCTCACTGAGGGAGGGAAGGATAGAGCCACGTGAGCTGGTCCCACAGGCCCCTCACATAGCCCCTCCCAACCCTCCCCACTGACTTGTCTCCCTCCAGCCGGCCTCTTTTCTGTTGCTTGGATGAGCCAGCGTGCTTCTCATCCCTTGGTCTTTATTCGTGTTGTTCCCTCTTTCTGGAATGCTCTTCCCCCAGATATTGGCATGATTGCTATCCTACCCTTAGTCAGATCTCAGCTCAAACATTCCCTCTTCCGTGAGTCCCCTCTTTTTTTGATGTAGAGTAGCAGCCACCTCTACAACTCCCTATCCCATGAAGCTACTTTACTTTTCATAGCACTCATTATCTGAACTAATCTTATTAATTTCTTTACTTGTGTGTTGTCTGCCTTCCCAACCAGAACGAAAGCTGTATGTCAGGGGAACTCTGTCCCCAGTGCTAGCTAGCTAGCACTGAGCTTACCACATGGTTGCCAGGGCTGCCATGGAAGGTTGTAATGGTTGTTCACTGCATCAGAGCTCCTGGCTGAGGGGCAGGTGCTGACATACAGCCTGTTCTCTGCTCTCCATGCACTGGGGGCATCCAGCAGGTTGCCTTCTGCTGTTTTGCAATGCGTGTTGTATGGGCTGGTAGTGGCTCTGTGATGGGTGTTCAATAAGTATTCACTGAATAAATGCCTGATGGATGTGCAGACCTTGTTTTCTTCTGTGGAACTTCATGCACATTACCTTCTCAGGGCCTTATTTTCGTCATCTGTTAAAGGGATAATTAACATCTATTTCATAATGTAGTTATGAGGTTTAAATGAAATAGTTCATTAAAAATCTAGCACAAATATGATTAGATTTGTATGAAATACCCAGAATAGGCAAATCCACAGAGACAGAAAGCAGATTAGTGGTTGCTGGGGGCTGGAGGGAGGAGGAAATGGGGAGTGACTACTTAATGGGTTGGGGTACCCAGGCGGTGTGATGCTAGTGTTTTAGACTAGATAGAGGGATGTTTGCACAACGTTCCGAATGTACTAAATGCCCCTGAACTGTGCACTGAAAATGGCTAAAATGGTGAATTGCATGAATCAGGTTATGTTATATGAATACCTCAATTAAAAAAAGAACCAGCACAGCTCCTAGAACTGTTAGGTGTTCAATGAATAGCTTTTGAATCCTATGATCATGTCCTTGATTCAAAATCAAAGCAAGACCCCAAACCTTCCTTGGTTCCCCACTGCCCCATCTGGGATACTATTCACTTTCCTCTCATTCATTTATTTCAGAAGCATTTATTACTGCCATTTTAGATATTGGGGATATGGAGAGGAACAAGACAGACACAGACCCTTGCCCCAGAGTTTACTGGCTCATAGGGGACTGTGCCAAATCAAGATAAAATCACAAAACTGTGCGGTCAGTGCTAGCTGGGAGAAGGGCCAGGGTCTTCGGGGCCCAGAGGAGGGGAGGAGGGACCCAGACAAGGGCATGTCAGGGAGGGCTGGTCTAGATAAAGAGGCACTGGAGCTGGGGCCTGAGTGATGAATTGGCCTGGGAGGAATAATCAGCCGGGTGGGAGATGGACAGGTGGGGGGTGGGGCTGGAGGGAAGGGTTGGGGTCCCAGGAAGGGCACATGCAAAGCCTGGGAGGGGCAAGCATGCTGGGTCCTAGGAATAGAGAGCCGTCTGGCGTGGCTGGCGCAGTGTGCGGGGTAGGTGACGGACAAGGCAGGAGAGTTCGGAAGGGGCCATTGACAGTAGGAGTTCAACTCCATGCTAAGATAGTCAAGGTCCTGCAGGTTCTCCCGGCCCCCCCCTCCCCCCCGCAATGACAAGCCCTGGGGGCAGCCCTTGCTCAGGCTGTACCCTGTGGCTCCCTGTGAATTCTTGTGCCTGCATGGCTTAGTTCATAACACTTCCTCCTTTCAATATTTACTGAGAACCTGCCCTATGTCAGGGGCCTGCTGTCAGAACCCGGCCCCACTGTGAAACTCCTTCCACCTGGCCCCACTGTAAAACTGCAGTGGGAAGGTGGGAGGTCTGCCCGGAGGGTGCTCTGGGCTAGAAGGTGGAGCTTGCAGGGGGAAGGCGGGGCTAGTCCGGGAGGACCAAATGCTCTTGGAAGGTGACTCCTGAGCTGGGTCTTAAAGAGCAAGGAGGCACTAGGCTTGGGGAAGAGGAGTAAGGCAATAGGGAAAGGTTCAGAGCTTAGCTCTGTGGGCTCCCAGGATCCTTGAGATCCAGATAAAGGCTAGAAGCCTCTATCCTGGTAGACACCTAGGCACACAATAAACCCCCAAGGGCACAGATACACTCCCCATTGACCTCCACATCCGCCCCCCCACCCCCACCCCGCGAGGGCTCACAAACATTTTTGCAGGCAATTTTGAGTGTTCTTGGTCCCTGTGGCTTTGCCCGGGAAGAACTCTCTCTTCCTCCCCTCCAGTTCTGGCCCACCGCCTTCCAGGGCCTGCAAAACTCCGCTTCAACTCTGGACTTTGTACCTGTCATAGGAAATTCACTAGCTTATCAGGGCCCTCAGCCCGAGCAGTTGCCTGTTGAGATGTCTGCCTGTCCCTTCTAGGGCTTCCTGAACTCCTCTCTGGATCCCAGCCGCAAGGCCACCCCCCCCACCAACTTCCCACACGGCGCTGGGGGTGGGGGTGGGGCCTGCGCCAGAAGATCACCGCAAAAGCTTGGCAAGAAGTGTTCTTAGTTCTCCTGATTGGAGGCGTTGCCTGCTGCCCGGCCCTCCGCCCTCACCTGCGGATTAGGCCCCGCCTGCCTGCGGCGTCCCCAGGTGAGTCAAGCGGCAGCTCCGGCCCACCCACCTGTCCAGGTTCTGCCCGCCCCAGCCGGAAGCTTCCTCCTTGGACTGTGCACAGTTCCTGCAGGTGGGGAGCAGAGGGGAAGACATTGGGGGGCCTGGGAGGGGGATCCCACAGATCCCTGAGGGCTCCTGGGAGCTTTAAAAGGAGCCCCAAATCAGGGTGGGGTGCGTATGTCTGTGAGATCAGAGGGTGTGTGTTTGTCGGTGGAAGAGATGTGACCTGTGGGGGTAGGGTGACAGCCTGTGGGGGTGTGTGTCCTTGACAAGAATTCACAGGGACAGGGCAGGCAGGAAAGGAGTAGGAGTAAAATCTTAGAGACATCAATTTGAATACAATTCATTTCCATTTAAAATCTGATTTTTCTGAGGATCCAGTGCCTATTGGGGCCTGGAGTAGGCACCCAGTGAGTGAATGAGTGATTGAGCTCTCCTTTCTGACGCCCCCCCTTCACTCTCCAGCTCCCCCATCCTCCTCTGTTACCTGCCCTGAGCAGCTGAGCACCAAGCTCTCTGCCAGCACCAGGGCACACATTAACCAGCCCAGGCGTTGGCCCCAGGCAGCTGCCCATCTAGTACCTGGCCACTTCTGCTGGATAGTTGCCTGTGTAGGCCAGGGAAGGGGTCCTCCAAGGGGGTCCTGGGACAACCTCACAGGCAGATATGGTCTGATTTCACCTGGAGGGATAGGGAACTCAAAATCCCGAGGAGGGGGTGGCTGGGAAACAAGAGGGAAGGTGAGCTGGGAGGGGTGTGTGTGTGTATGTGTGTGTGTGTGTGTGTAGCACGGGGAGGGAACTGTGGACAAGAGGCCTAGTTTGGCCCGAGGCCCCTGTGCTGGGCTGTGGGGACTGGAAGAACATGCTGAGGAATCTATGTGCAGCCCTTAGGGCCTGGGGAGCTCTGGAAGAATTTTTAGGAGTAATGGGGTCAGATTTGGGCTTTAGGCCCATCACTCTGGGGAATGGACTGGAGGTGGGGAAAGATGGATTAGGAGGTCATGTAGGAGTCGAGGAATAGGATGAAGGTGGCTTGGATGGGGCAGTGGCCAGTGGGTGCAGGGGAGGGGCAGAGCCATTGCAGAGATATTTAGTTCCAGGAAGAACTGATGGGGCTTAGTGACGGGTTGGAGGAGAGGAGGGAGGGTTTCATGAAGATATCAGTATTAAAGAATATGGGAGGTACTCCCCTAAACTAGATGCTTCTCTCCTAGGTGCTTTCCCAGCCTGGATACTCCTCCGCAGTACTCCTCTGATTCAGGTGCTCCACCTGCACATTATCTCCAGTCCTAGGCGTCCCTCTGACAGGTACTTCCCTAACCTAGGTGCTCTTCCTCTAGATACTCTTCAGATTCAGGTGTTGCTCCCCCAGGCCTTCCTCTGACTCAGGCGTTCCTCCTCCTGGTATTCCCAAGCCTAGATGATCTTCCTCCAGATACTCCCTTAATTCAGGTGCTCCCTCTTGCTCCTCCCTAGCCCTAGGGGTTCTTATCCAGATAATTTCCTGATCGAGGTGATCTGCATTTGGCTACTCCCTGAATACTGCCTCCCTCTGGGGGCAGACGGAGGTCGATGGACAAGCCATGTGTCTGAAGAGCTGAGGGTCAAGGTGGGGTGCAGGAGCTCCTGACTGAGGAGGAGTGGGGCCCCCTGCCTGGGTAGGGACTGGCACTCTCCTCCACATGTGGTCTCTACTTTGGTTCATTAGCTCTGAGCGATTGCTGTTGTCCAACCCCTGGGAACCAGAACCGCCTCTGCCCCCCTTCCCATCCTCAGCCTACCAAGCAGTGTAGCAGACTGGGCTCTGGGCCCTGGTTTCAGAGACCTGGGTTCAAGTCCTGGGACTTGGGCTGAGTTAGTTCACCCTCTGGGCCTCAGACTCCTCATCTACAGAGAGGGGATAATGTTGATACCCACATTAGAGGGGTCTGTGAGCCCATTGCCTGGTGCCTAAATCAGACACAGTGTTGAGTAAGTTCCTGCATTTTTTTCAGGGGCTTGCAGAGCCGGACCCCACGGTGTTCCCTTACAAATAGCCAATTTCCAGGTACACAGCTCATTTCTCTTTTGTGCACAACTGGTTATGGTCAGTCGTCCAGTGTCCAGAGTTTGTGCAGCGCCCGAATGTGGCCGTGCGTGTGCCCCGGGGAATGTGCACCTGTGCTCCCTGGACACCCACTTGTATGTGTATCTTCTAGGACTCTGGCCTCCAGGGCTGCCTGGCATCTGGGGGTTTCTGTGGCGCTCAGGCTCTTCTGGCAGAAGCCGAGGCTCACCGGTGTCTTCAGGCCCCTCCATGAGTGAGGCAAACCAAAGTGAGTTTGGGAAGGAGGCCGAGGAGGGGGGTTGGGGGAAGGACCCTGTCTCCACACCTTTTGGTTTCCCCAGGGAACCCATCTGGGGCCCCCATCCATAATGCTGTCCCTCCCTCTGCAGCCACCGTGGGGCCGGGGCCCTCAGAGCTCCCAGCAGCATCAGCTGTGTCCCCTGGACCGGGCACTGGGGCCCGGGCATGGCCTGCGCTGGTAGGGGTCATCCTGGGGGCTGTGGTCCTCTCCCTCCTCATTGCTCTTGCTGCCAAATGCCACCTCTGCCGCAAGTACCGGGCCAGCTACCGGCACCGCCCGCTGCCCAGGACGGCCAAGGTGGTCTGCCCGGAGGTGGGTGACGAGGACGACGACGACGGCTTCATCGAGGACAATTACATTCAGCCTGGCACTGGCGGGCTGGGGACTGAGGGTAGCAGGGACAACTTTTCCTTCTGAGCCCCAGTCTTTAGACCCCCTCCACCCCCCGCCCATACCTGACAACTTAAGGATAGTGGATACTACAGAGGGGCCACAAGCCTCAGGGAGAGAGGGATCTAGGGCTTCAGGGCTAACCAGGGGTAGAGCAACCCTCCCTTCCCTGACGCTAGGTACTAAAGGGACAAACCCTCTCTCGCTCGGTAACCCTCAATGGCTCCCTGCTGTTCTCAGGACAACTACCAAGGGCCTGGCTAGGGGAATAAGGCCTCTTTCAGCCTCTTGGTTCACTTTCCCAACCTCACTCCCTACTAAACGAATTATTTGTTATTCCTCTTCTCCCTCATGGTGTTTCTCCATGCCCTTTTTGCTCACACTCTCAACCCGGCCTACACTGCCCTTCTGTTCTCTCAAATCCTCTGTCCCCCGGTGGTGGGGGAGGGGACTCACTTGGTCGAGCGGCTGGCTCTTGATTTCTGCTCAGGTCATGATCTCAGGGTCCTGGGACTGAGCCCTGCATCGGGCTCCCCGCTGAGGTTTCTCTTTGTCTGTCTGCTCCTCCCCCTGCTCATGCACACGCACACACTCTCTCTCTCTCAAATAAATACATAAATCTTAAAAAAAAAATCCTCTACGACAGTGATGAAAATCCCTGGCCAATAGAGTCCCTCTGGCCTGCCTACCTGCCGGCATTTCTGGTGTGCCAGGATGATAACAGTTGAGCTGGTGAAAACCAGTGTGCCAAGTTTCTTATTGAAATTTTTTCAATAAAGTAAGTAATCTAAATGGTTATATGACATTTTTCACAGGTAGTAATAAATCTATTTTCATTTTAAATGAAAGTAAAAAGGAGTCACTAATTTTTATTTTCCTGAATTGGGACTTGTGCATTAAAGTGTTCCTTGTCGGGGCGCCTGGGTGGCTCAGTCGGTTAAGCATTTGCCTTTGGCTCAGGTCATGATCTCAGGGTCCTGGGATCGAGGCCCGCATCGGGCTCCCTGCTCAGTCAGCAGCGAGTCTGCTTCTCCTTCTCCCTCTGTTATCTCTCTCGCTTTCTCTCTCTCAAATAAATAGATAAAATCTTAAAAAAAAAAATGTTCCTTGTCACTCCTAGCTGGAAGACACGGCTCATGCATCCCTTCCCCCAGGACGCCTCTCGTGAGCCCTCCCTCTCACTGCACCCTGTGAGTTCCTCTTCCCTTCTCTGGCCATGGCGGTGGATTTTAATCTGTATTGGAGTTTGCACAGCCCCCTTACTGTGCCTATCTTCAGGGCTAGACTGTGAACTCTCTGAAGCCACAGGCCGTGTCTCATTCTGTGTCCTCATTCTTGTGCAAGGTGGATGCTAAATAAATATTTGTCACATTTGTTTCATTACTGCAGGCTGAGTAGTGAGGAGTTGAAAGGTGAGGGAGTGAGTTGAATGTGGGAGACTTTCTCAAGAGTTTGATGAAGAGGAGGAGGGCAGGCTCATCCTTGCTGGTGGGGAGACTGGGGCAAGGGATGCTGTTTTGGGGTGTATGTGTGATTCAACAATTCCATACGTTACTTGGTGCTCATCATGACAAGTGTCCTCTTAATCCCCATCCCCTATTTCACCCATCCCCCTGCCCCCCTCCCCTCTGGTCACCATCAGTTTGTTCTCTGTAGTTAAGAGTTGTCTTTTGGTTTCTCTTTTTTCTCCCTTTGTTCATTTGTTTCTTAAATTTTGTGTATGAGTGAAATCATATGCTATTTGTCTTTATCTGACTGACTTATTTTGCTTAGCATTATGCTCTCTAGATCTCTCCTTGTCATTGCAAATGGCAAGATTTCTTTTTTAGAACTGAATAATCAGCTGAATAATATTCCATTATATGTGTGTGTGTGTCACTTCTTCTTTATCCATTCATCTACTGATGGACACTCAGGTTGCTTCCATAATTTGTCTATTGTAAATAATGCTGCAATAAACATAGGGGTACACGTACCCTTTTGAATTCGTTGGGTAAATAAACACCCAGTAGTGTGAATACTGGGTTGTAGGCTAGTTCTTTTTTACATTTTTTCAGGAACCTCCATACTGTTTTCCAGAGTGGCTGCATCAATTTGTGTTCTCACCAACAGTGCACAAGGGTTTCTCTTTCTCCCATTCTCCATATCCTCTTGTGTCATTGATTTTAGCCATTCTGACCGGTGTGAGGTGATAGCTCATTGTGGCTTTGATTTGCATTTTCCTGATATTGAGTGATGTTGAGCATCTTTTTCTTTTCTTTTTTTTTTTTTAGAAGCCAGTTTTTTTTTTTGTTTTTTTTAAAAGATTTTATTTATTTATTTGACAGAGAGACAGCGAGAGCAGGAACACAAGCAGGGGGAGTGGGAGAGCGAGAAGCAGGCTTCCTGCCGAGCAGGGAGCCCAATGTGGGACTCGATCCCAGGACCCTGGGATCATGACCTGAGCCGAAGGCAGATGCTTAACAACTGAGCCACCCAGGTGCCCCTGTTGAGCATCTTTTCATGCGTCTATTGGCCATCTGTATGTCTTCTTTGGAGAAATGTCTGTTCGTGTCTTCTGTAAAACTAAAAGACAACCTGCTGAGTGGGAAAAGAGATTTGCAAATGACATATCCCATAAAGGGTTTGTATCCAAAATGTATAAAGAACTTATACAACTCGGGCACCTGGTGGCTCAGTTGGTTAAGCGACTGCCTTCGGCTCAGGTCACGATCCCAGGGTCCTGGGCTCAAGCCTCCACTTCAGGCTCCCCGCTCAGCGGTGTGTCTGCTTCTCTCTCTCTGCCTCTCCTCCTGCTTGTGCTCTCTCCCTCTCTCTCTCTCAAGTAAATAAATAAAAAATTTTTTTAAAAAGAAAATAAATAGGGGCACCTGGGTGGCTCAGTTGGTTAAGCGACTGCCTTCGGCTCAGGTCATGGTCCTGGAGTCCCGGGATCGAGTCCCGCATCGGGCTCCCTGCTCGGCAGGGAGTCTGCTTCTCCCTCTGACCCTCCCCCCTCTCATGCTATCTCTATGTCATTCTCTCTCTCAAATAAATAAATAAAATCTTTAAAAAAAAGAACTTATACAACTCAATACCAAAAAAACCAAATAATCTAAGCAAGGGAGGCAGTTTTAAGAAGGGAGAAAGTTAAGCTTTTGGTCGAAAGCAATGGGAAGAGAATTAAAGGGACAGCTGACTCAGGAGGGCAGGAAGCAGGTGGCTCCAGCAGCCTGAGGACAGGAACGTACTCTTATGTCACTTGTGGGCATTAATGAGACTCCATACCTGAGACCCCCGAGTTCTTGATTCCAAGTTTTAAGTACTCAGGTGACAGAATGTCATCAGCCCAGTTTGGGTCAAGTATCCACCACTAGTCCAACCAGCTATGAATGGTGGCAGGCTCCTGTAGTGCAAATGTGATTTGGGGAGCCTGCCTATTTGTTGCAGGTCATTCCCAGACAAGGGGAAGTCATCATGAATCAGGTGGCCACCCTGCATATGCCCATTGGATGCAGTGCTAGCCTTTGAGAAAAGAGCCAGCACAGAAGGAAGGTGAGGGCAGGACTGATATAGGGAGGAGCTTGAGAAAAAGGCAGGTCAAGTTGGGCTGTAGTGTAGGGTCGAGGGGTGCCCTAGGCGGGGGTGAAGCTGAAGGGTGGACCAGATCAGCTAGGGCTTTGGTGCCAAGATAGCTTGCATTTCAATATGAGAGCAGCTGAGGCTCATCTGTGGACTTTTTTGGTCAAGGAATGATGTAATCATGATAGAAAAGTCATTCTGGATGCTGTGCAATGGGTCGGAAGGGAGAGACCCAGAGGGAGGTGATACGATCTGCCTAAGGTATGGCAGGGAACAGAGAGATTCCAGAGACACAGGGAAGGAAGGGGTGGCAGGCTTGCTGCTGCCAGATGTGGGGAGTAGGAAGGAGGCAATGAAGTCGCCCTGGTTTCTGGTTGGGTGGCTGGGCAACCTGGGGAGGGGCCGGCTTTGAGGGAACAAGGATTCAATGTTTGATGCGCGATTTCCAGGGGGAAGTGCCCGGGGACAGCTGGATTCACCTGGGAGAAGTCCGGCCTGCAGGTGTGGGTTTGGGACTAGTCTGCAGTGGGGTCCCTGAGACCCAGGAGTGAATAAGATCAGGGGGCCTGTGTGGAGTGGAGGAGGTACAGAGGACTAACTAGGGGAACACTGACATCTAAAGGCTTATCAGCAGAGGAGGACATGACAGGGGAGCCCAGTGCACTTGTCCCCAACCCCGGCCGTTGTTCCTGAGTCCAGAGACAGTCTGACCCTCGCAGGCCTGGAAAGTCCCTGTGTCTGGAACAGCAGCATAGGCTGCCCCAGCCCAAGACCTTGAGAAGGACCTTGAGTAGCAGAACTAAGGGGCTGAGGGCACGTCCTGAGCAAGCGAAGAGCCGCTGGGAACGCAGCAGGGCCTGTTCCCTGCCCTTATGTCCCCTCAGTGCCTACCTAGAGGGGCTGTCCTGCCTGAGTTCTGGGCCAGAGAGCAGCTCAGCTGTCCCCATGGTCACATATTCTTCGGGACCTGAGTCAGAACCTCTGAAGGATCCAGGGAAGGTAAGGGCTTGTTTTTCCTGAGCCCAGCACCCAGCAAGGGGCAGCAGGGAGAGCTTCCTCCCAGAACCTGCTGTGGGTGTTATGCCTGGCTGAGCAGGCCCCTAACTAAGGTCATAGGAACCTTGGACCCTGTCCTGAGAGGCTTTCCTGGATTCCTCTGAGGAGGGGTTTCCACTGTGCTCTGCATGCTTGGCCCCATGCACAAAGAGGGAGTGTGATTTGGGTCCACAGGTTCAAAGGCCCAGTGATGCTAGAATCGTGGGAGGCCTGGGACTCAGCCAGACCTCTCTCTGTCCTCCCTCCCCTGGCTTCAGGCCCTGGCCCCAGCCTGCCTCTGCCCCTGGCCCTCTGTACCCTAGCCTGTAGAATACAGCAAGTGTTAGCCAAACCCCTCTGGGTACCCTCAGGGCTAGCTCCCTACAGCAGGGGGGCAGTCTTCATCCTGAGGGCGGAAGCTTGCCAAGCTT